GTTGTGGTGGTGATGGTGACCACCACAACACAACACAAGTGTGCCACAGACCCCACAACACAACACAAGTGTGCCACAGACCCCCACAACACAACACAAATGTGCCACAGACCCCCACAACACAACACAAGTGTGCCACAGACCCCACAACACAACACAAGTGTGCCACAGACCCCCACAACACAACACAAGTGTGCCACAGACCCCCACAACACAACACAAATGTGCCACAGACCCCAACAACACAACACAAGTGTGCCACAGACCCCCACAACACAACACAAATGTGCCACAGACCCCCACAACACAACAAAGTGTGCCACAGACCCCCACAACACAACACAAGTGTGCCACAGACCCCACAAACACAACACAAGTGTGCCACAGACCCCCACAACACAACACAAGTGTGCCACAGACCCCCACAACACAACACAAGTGTGCCACAGACCACCACAACACAACACAAGTGTGCCACTGACCCCACAACACAACACAAGTGTGCCACAGATCCCACAACACAACACAAGTGTGCCACAGACCCCCACAACACAACACAAGTGTGCCACAGACCCCCACAACACATGTGTGCCACAGACCCCACAACACAGCACAAGTGTACCAAAGACCGCAACAACACAACACAAGTGTGCCACAGACCCCACAACACAAGTGTGCCAAAGACCCCACAACACAACACAAGTTTGCCACAGAATCCACAACACAACACAAGTGTGCCACAGACCCCCACAACACAAGTGTACCACAGACCCCCACAACACAACACAAATGTGCCACAGACCCCACAACACAACACAAGTGTGCCACAGACCCCACAACACAACACAAGTGTTCCACAGACCCCACAACACATGTGTGCCACAGACCCCACAACACAGCACAAGTGTGCCACAGATCCGCCCAACACAACACAAGTGTGCCACAGACCCCACAACACAACACAAGTGTTCCACAGACCCCACAACACATGTGTGCCACCGACCCCACAACACAGCACAAGTGTGCCACAGACCCCACAACACAACACAAGTGTGCCACAGATCCCCCCAACACAACACAAGTGTGCCACAGATCCCCCCAACACAACACAAGTGTGCTACAGACCCCACAACAGAAGCGTGCCACAGACCCCGACAACACAACACAAGTGTTCCACAGACCCCACAACACAAGTGTGCCACAGACGCCACAACACAACACAAGTGTGCCACAGACGCCACAACACAACACAAGTGTGCCACAGACGCCACAACACAACACAAGTGACCACAGACGCCACAACACAAGTGTGCCACAGACCCCCCACAACACAACACAAGTGTGCCACAGACCCCACAACACAACACAAGTGTGCCACAGACCCCCACAACACAAGTGTACCACAGACCCCACAACACAACACAAGTGTGCCACAGACCCCACAACACAACACAAGTGTGCCACAGACCCCACAACACAACACAAGTGTGCCAGAGACCCCACAACACAACACAAGTGTGCCACAGACCCCACAACACAACACAAGTGTGCCACAGACCCCACAACACAACACAAGTGTGCCACAGACCCCACAACACAACACAAGTGTGCCACAGACCCCCACAACACAACACAAGTGAGCCACAGACCCCACAACACAACACAAGTAACCACAGACGCCACAACACAACACAAGTGTGCCACAGACCCCACAACACAACACAAGTGTGCCACAGACCCCACAACACAACACAAGTGTGCCACAGACCCCACAACACAACACAAGTGTGCCACAGACCCCCACAACACAACACAAGTGTGACACAGACCCCCACAACACAACACAAGTGACCACAGACCCCCACAACACAACACAAGTGACCACAGACCCCCACAACACAAGTGTGACACAGACCCCCACAACACAAGTGTGCCACAGACCCCCACAACACAACACAAGTGTGCCACAGACCCCCACAGCACAACACAAGTGTGCCACAGACCCCCACAACACAACACAAGTGTGCCACAGACCCCACAACACAAGTGTGACACAGACCCCCACTACACAAACAACACAAGTGTGCCACAGACCCCACAACACAACACAAGTGTGCCACAGACCCCACAACACAAGTGTGACACAGACCCCCACTACACAACACAACACAAGTGTGCCACAGACCCCACAACACAACACAAGTGTACCACAGACCCCACAACACAACACAAGTGTGCCACAGACGCCACAACACAACACAAGTGTGCCACAGACGCCACAACACAACACAAGTAACCACACAGACCCCCACAACACAACACAAGTGTGCCACAGACGCCACAACACAACACAAGTGTGCCACAGACCCCACAACACAACACAAGTGTGCCACAGACCCCCACAACACAACACAAGTGTGCCACAGACCCCACAACACAACACAAGTGTGCCACAGACCCCACAACACAACACAAGTGTGCCACAGACCCCACAACACAACACAAGTGTGCCACAGACCCCACAACACAACACAAGTGTGCCACAGACCCCACAACACAACACAAGTGTGCCACAGACCCCACAACACAACACAAGTGTACCACAGACCCCCACAACACAAGTGTGCCACAGACCCCACAACACAACAAGTGTGCCACCACAACACAACACAAGTGTGCCACAGACCCCCACAACACAACACAAGTGTGCCACAGACCCCCACAACACAACACAAGTGTGACACAGACCCTCACTACACAACACAAGTGTACCTTAGACCCCACAACACAACACAAGTGTGCCACAGACCCCCACAACACAACACAAGTGTGCCACAGACCCCACAACACAACACAAGTGTGACACAGACCCTCACAACACAACACAAGTGTGCCACAGACCCCACAACACAACACAAGTGTGCCACAGACCCCACAACACAACACAAGTGTGCCACAGACCCCCCCACAACACAAGTGTGACACAGACCCCCACAACACAACACAAGTGACCACAGACCCCCACAACACAACACAAGTGACCACAGACCCCCACAACACAAGTGTGACACAGACCCCCACAACACAAGTGTGCCACAGACCCCACAACACAACACAAGTGTGCCACAGACCCCCACAACACAACACAAGTGTGACACAGACCCCCACAACACAACACAAGTGTGACACAGACCCTCACTACACAACACAAGTGTACCTTAAACCCCCACAACACAACACAAGTGTGACACAGACCCCCACAACACAACACAAGTGTGCCACAGACCCCACAACACAAGTGTGACCCAGACCCTCACTACACAACACAAGTGTACCTTAAACCCCACAACACAACACAAGTGTGCCACAGACGCCACAACACAAGTGTGACACAGACCCTCACTACACAACACAAGTGTACCTTAAACCCCCACAACACAACACAAGTGTGCCACAGACCCCACAACACAAGTGTGACACAGACCCCCACAACACAACACAAGTGTGCCTTAGACGCCACAACACAACACAAGTGTTCCACAGACCCCCACAACACAACACAAGTGTGCCACAGACCCCACAACACAAGTGTGCCACAGACCCCACAACACAACACAAGTGTGCCACAGACGCCACAACACAACACAAGTGTTCCACAGACCCCACAACACAACACAAGTGTGCCTTAGACGCCACAACACAACACAAGTGTGCCACAGACCGCCACAACACGACACAAGTGTGCCACAGACGCCACAACACAACACAAGTGTGCCACAGACCCCCACAACACAACACACGTGTGCCACTGACGCCACAACACAACACAAGTGTGCCACAGACGCCACAACACAACACAAGTGTGCCACAGACCCCCACAACACAACACAAGTGTGCCACAGACGCCACAACACAACACAAGTGTGCCACAGACCCCCACAACACAACACACGTGTGCCACTGACGCCACAACACAACACAAGTGTACCACAGATCCCCACAACACAACACAAGTGTGCCACAGACGCCACAACACAACACAAGTGTGCCACAGACCCCACAACACAACACAAGTGTGCCACAGACGCCACAACACAACACAAGTGTGCCACAGACCCCCACAACACAACACAAGTGTGCCACAGACGCCACAACACAACACATGTGTGCCACAGACCCCCACAACACAACACAAGTGTTCCACAGACCCCACAACACAAGTGTGCCACAGACCCCACAACACAACACAAGTGTGCCACAGACCCCCACAACACAAGTGTACCACAGACCCCCACAACACAACACAAGTGTGCCACAGACCCCACAACACAACACAAGTGTGCCACAGACCCCACAACACAACACAAGTGTGCCACAGACCCCACAACACAAGTGTGCCATAGAAACCACAACACAACACAAGTGTGCCACAGACCCCACAACACAACACAAGTGTGCCACAGACGCCACAACACAAGTGTGCCACAGACCCCACAACACAACACAAGTGTACCACAGACCCCCACAACACAACGCAAGTGTGCCACAGACCCCACAACACAACACAAGTGTGCCACAGACCCCACAACACAACACAAGTGTGCCACAGACCCCCACAACACAACACAACACAAGTGTGCCACAGACGCCACAACACAACACAACACAAGTGTGCCACAGACCCCCACAACACAACACAACACAAGTGTGCCACAGACGCCACAACACAACACAACACAAGTGTGCCACAGACGCCACAACACAACACAACACAAGTGTGCCACAGACCCCCACAACACAACACAACACAACACAAGTGTGCCACAGACCCCCACAACACAACACAACACAACACAAGTGTGCCACAGACGCCACAACACAGCCCCCTGATCAAACACCTCAACATCCTGGACATAGACGACTGTGGAACAAGGGAATTTTTCCTCCACCAGACTCTTAACACCGGGACCATTCTTACAAGACACAACAACACAGCCGCTCTATTGTAGCCCTAGTGGCTTGGTCACAATATTGACACAGTTTGTTGGAGGGCTGTTGGAGGGCTGTTGGAGGGCTGTTGGAGGGCTGTTGGAGGGCTGTTGTAGGGCTGTTGGAGAGCTGTTGTAGGGCTGTTGGAGGGCTGTTGGAGAGCTGTTGGAGGGCTGTTGGAGGGCTGTTGGAGGGTTGTTGTAGGGCTGTTGGAGTGCTGTTGGAGGGCTGTTGTAGAGCTGTTGTAGGGTTGTTGGAGAGCTGTTGTAGGGTTGTTGGAGGGCTGTTGGAGGGTGGTTGGAGGGCTGTTGTAGGGCTGTTGGAGAGCTGTTGTAGGGCTGTTGGAGGGCTGTTGGAGAGCTGTTGGAGGGCTGTTGTAGGGCTGTTGTAGGGCTGTTGGAGGACTGTTGGAGGGCTGTTGGAGGGCTGTTGGAGGGCTGTTGGAGGGCTGTTGTAGGGCTGTTGGAGGGCTGTTGGAGGGCTGTTGTAGGGCTGTTGGAGGGCTGTTGTAGGGCTGTTGGAGGGCTGTTGTAGGGCTGTTGTAGGGCTGTTGGAGGGCTGTTGGAGGGCTGTTGGAGGGCTGTTGGAGGGCTGTTGGAGGGCTGTTGTAGGGCTGTTGGAGGGCTGTTGGAGGGCTGTTGTAGGGCTGTTGGAGGGCTGTTGGAGGGCTGTTGGAGGGCTGTTGTAGGGTTGTTGTAGGGCTGTTGGAGGGCTGCTGTAGGGCTGTTGGAGGGCTGTTGGAGGGCTGTTGGAGGGCTGTTGGAGGGCTGTTGGAGGGTTGTTGGAGGGTTGTTGGAGGGCTGTTGGAGGGCTGTTGCAGGGCTGTTGGAGGGCTGTTGGAGGGCTGTTGGAGGGCTGTTGTAGGGCTGTTGGAGGGTTGTTGGAGGGCTGTTGGAGGGCTGTTGGAGGGCTGTTGGAGGGCTGTTGTAAGGCTGTTGTAGGGTTGTTGGAGGGCTGTTGGAGGGCTGTTGGAGGGTTGTTGGAGGGCTGTTGGAGGGCTGTTGGAGGGCTGTTGGAGGGCTGGACCGCCTAGACAATGGCTGCTCCCCTGGGCATCAACTCGGATTATTAATATGGAGACAAGCCGAAGTATATAATGCAAACTTCGCTCCCCTGACTTTGCCTCGCTAATGAAAATACACAATAGTTTTTGTCATCCTCTCAAGCAGTGGGGGTTCTCATCAAGCCCAAACAGCGCCGCCATTATCAAATGAAATAGTGAAATATAATTAGCTGGTGACGAGGGATAGCGTAGACCCCCCTTGATTTTGGCGGGCACGCCGTTTTCTGTGGAGGGGCAGAGTAAGTTAAACATGGCTGGGCATGTCCGTAGACTTTACCTAGAGGTTTGTTGCTAATTGCTATGGATCAAATGCCCGAGAACCACTAACTATCCTGGGCTAATTTGGCCTCACGAACTATGTATAACCATTCATATAGAGTCGTCTTATACATGTAGATATATCTATGTATGCTGAGTTGTATGAGAGTATATTACCTGGTGCCTGCACCTGGTGCCTGGTGAAGAGACCAGCACCGTGCAGGGGAGGGAGCAACCTGAGCTGCCACACCCGTCACACACATGAGACACCTGCCTCCTATACCACACTCCTCAGGTGTGAGGAACACTGTGGCTACTACAACGACCCAGTCCAGTCGTTAAGTGGACGGACTGTGGCACAGTCCAGTCGTTAGGTGGACGGACTGTGGCACAGTCCAGTCATTAGGTGGACGGACTGTGGCACACTTCAGACAAAACCGAACTTCTGGTTTTATACAAATAATATTTGCACCTAAACTATCAGTATATATATATATATATATATATATATATATATATATATATATATATATATATATATATATATATATATATATATATATATATATATATATATATACATATACATACCTTGGGGCAAGGTAAGCCTGGGCAGGCAAGAAAGAACTGAATCAGCAACAAATGACCCCATTACTCCATCAGGGCCAGGGAACCCCCCCCCTTGTGGTCCATATAACCCCCTCAGAGTACACGGTGGCCCACACCACAGTGGCCCACACCACAGTGGGCCACACCACAGTGGCCCACACCACACTGGCCCACACCACAGTGGCCCACACCACAGTGGCCCACACCACACTGGCCCACACCACAGTGGCCCACACCACAGTGGCCCACACCACAGTGGGCCACACCACAGTGGCCCACACCACAGTGGCCCACACCACACTGGCCCACACCACAGTGGCCCACACCACAGTGGCCCACACCACAGTGGCCCACACCACAGTGGCCCACACCACAGTGGCCCACACCACAGTGGCCCACACCACACTGGCCCACACCACAGTGGCCCACACCACAGTGGCCCACACCACACTGGCCCACACCACAGTGGCCCAACCACAGTGGCCCACACCACAGTGGCCCACACCACAGTGGGCCACACCACAGTGGCCCACACCACACTGGCCCACACCACAGTGGCCCACACCACAGTGGCCCACACCACAGTGGGCCACACCACAGTGGCCCACACCACAGTGGGCCACACCACACTGGCCCAACAGGTCCCCCAACCCACCACAGAGTGTACTCACCGTGGAGAACATGGTCCCTGGTGCAGGAAGACGGGTTGGAGTTCGAGGTTACTTTGTCCCCCCCCCCCTCACGCCCCCCCCTCCGCCCCCCCTCGCTGTCCCCCCCTCGCTGGCCCCCCCCCCGTGTTGCCAGAGACAGATTAGGGAGCGATAAGGACCGGATGAGGTGGTGGTCCCCCCCCCCACTGTGTAGAGGAGGTGTGCACGTCATGGTTGTCTGGTGGTGGAGGTTGTGTGTGGCTGCTGGTGTTGTTGGTCTCTGGTGCTCTGAGCGGTGATGGTGGTCCACTGGCCCTCTGGTGGCCCTCTGGTGGCCCTCTGGTGCTCTTGGTGGCTCTCTGGTGACCCCTCTGGTGATCTTGGTGGCCCTCTGGTGGTCTTGGTGGCCCTTTGGTGGTCCAGTAGCCCTCTGGTGGTCTTGGCGGCCCTCTGGTGGTCTTGGTGGCCCTTTGGTGGTCCAGTAGCCCTCTGGTGGTCTTGGTGGTCTTGGAGGCCCTCTGTTGGTCTTGGTGGTCTTGGAGGCCCTCTGTTGGTCTTGGTGGTCTTGGAGGCCCTCTGTTGGTCTTGGTGGTCTTGGAGGCCCTCTGCTGGTCTTGGTGGTCTTGGAGGCCCTCTGGTGGTCTTGGTGGCCCTCTGGTGACCCCTCTGCTGGTCTTGGTGGTCTTGGAGGCCCTCTGGTGGTCTTGGTGGCCCTCTGGTGGCCCTCTGGTGACCCCTCTGCTGGTCTTGGTGGTCTTGGAGGCCCTCTGGTGGTCTTGGTGGCCCTCTGGTGGCCCTCTGGTGACCCCTCTGCTGGTCTTGGTGGTCTTGGAGGCCCTCTGGTGGTCTTGGTGGCCTTCTGGTGGCCCTCTGGTGGTCTTGGTGGTCTTGGAGGCCCTCTGGTGGTCTTGGAGACCCTCTGGTGGCTCTCTGATGGTCTTGGAGGCCCTCTGGTGGTCAAGGTGGCCCTCTGGTGCTCTTGGTGGCCCTCTGGTGGTCTTGGAGACCCTCTGGTGGCTCTCTGATGGTCTTGGAGGCCCTCCGGTGATCAAGATGGCCCTCTGGTGCTCTTCGTGGCCCTCCGGTGGTCTTGGAGGCCCTCTGTTGTCCCTCTGATGATATTGGTGGCCCCCTGGTGGTCTTGGTGGCCTTCTGGTGGTCTTGGAGGCCCTCTGGTGGTCTTGGAGGCCCTCTGGTGGTCTTGGAGGCCCTCTGGTGGTCTTGGAGGCCCTCTGGTGGTCTTGGAGGCCCTCTGGTGGTCTTGGAGGCCCTCTGTTGTCCCTCTGATGATATTGGTGGCCCCCTGGTGGTCTTGGTGGCCTTCTGGTGGTCTTGGAGGCCCTCTGGTGGTCTTGGAGGCCCTCTGGTGGTCTTGGAGGCCCTATGGTGGTCTTGGAGGCCCTCTGGTGGTCTTGGAGGCTCTCTGGTGGTCTTGGTGGCCTTCTGGTGGTCTTGGAGGCCCTCTGGTGGTCTTGGAGGCCCTCTGTTGTCCCTCTGATGATATTGGTGGCCCTCTGGTGGTCTTGGAGGCCCTCCGGTGGTCTTGGAGGCCCTCTGGTGGTCTTGGAGGCCCTCTGGTGGTCTTGGAGGCCCTATGGTGTTCTTGGAGGCCCTCTGGTGGTCTTGGAGGCTCTTTGGTGGTCTTGGAGGCCTTCTGGTGGTCTTGGTGGCCCTCTGGTGGCCTTCTGGTGGCCCTCTGGTGGCCCTCTGGTGGCCCTCTGGTGGCCCTCTGGTGGCTCTCTGGTGGTCCTGGTGGCCCTCTGGTGGCTCTCTGGTGGTCCTGGTGGCCCTCTGGTGGCCCTCTGGTGGTCCTGGTGGCCCTCTGGTGGCCCTCTGGTGGTCCTGGTGGCCCTCTGGTGGTCCTGGTGGCCCTCTGGTGGCCCTCTGGTGGTCCTGGTGGCCTTCTGGTGGCCCTCTGGTGGTCTTGGTGGCCTTCTGGTGGCCTTCTGGTGGCCCTCTGGTGGTCTTGGTGGCCTTCTGGTGGTCCTGGTGGCCCTCTGGTGGCCCTCTGGTGGTCCTGGTGGCCCTCTGGTGGCCCTCTGGAGTGGTCATGGATCAAATATACGTTAACTTTATTTTTTACATTTTACCTAATTTTATCACCTTTGTTTTGCTTTAAATAAATTGCCCATAATGAAATAATCTAAATTATTTTTATTACTCATTATTATTTGATATAATTTATTTTGAATAACCTAAATAAATGATGAATTAATTAAAAAAATAAACAAATGCATGTTTTTTGGCGACTAGTTTTGGGTTAATTCAACCGATCTTAATAATTTGTGTTCTTTGTTCTGTTTCAGCATCCATGGTCACAGGTAAGCTGGGGCGGGCTTAGCGGCCCTTAGGGCGGGCTTAGCGGCCCTTAGGGCGGGCTTAGCGGCCCTTAGGGCGGGCTTAGCGGCCCTTAGGGCGGGCTTAGCGGCCCTTAGGGCGGGCTTAGCGGCCCTTAGGGCGAGCTTAGCGGCCCTTAAGGCGGGCTTAGCGGCCCTTAGGGGTGAGCTTAGCGGCCCTTAGGGGTGAGCTTAGCGGCCCTTAGGGCGAGCTTAGCGGCCCTTAGGGCGGGCTTAGCGGCCCTTAGGGCGAGCTTAGCGGCCCTTAAGGCGAGCTTAGCGGCCCTTAGGGCGAGCTTAGCGGCCCTTAAGGCGAGCTTAGCGGCCCTTAGGAGTGAGCTTAGCGGCCCTTAGGGCGAGCTTAGCGGCCCTTAGGGCGAGATGTCTCACTGCTCCCATACTGGCTTGCTAACCAGGAGCCGTGTTCCGTAGTGGGCCGGAGCTGCTACCTCCTCGTCCCTAAGTACCCGTCTAGGGGGCCCTGTTTTCCCGTCTAAGGGCCCCAGGGGTTTCCCGTTTAGAGGGAACCCAAGGACTTACCTGTACTGTACCTCTACCTGTACTGTTGATCCGGACTTTACCTGTTTAGTACTCTCGAGGTCTGCCCGGACTCTGACCAATCTAGTAGACTTGAAGTAGTTAAGTCTACTATGTAGTAGACTTGAAGCTTTAATTTGTCTAGTAGGTCTGTCACCTGTTGCTCTGTCTAGTAGGTCTGTCACCTGTTGCCCTGTCTAGTAGGTCTGTCCCCTGTTGCCCTGTCTAGTAGGTCTGTCACCTGTTGCCCTGTCTAGTAGGTCTGTCACCTGTTGCTCTGTCTAGTAGGTCTGTCACCTGTTGCCCTGTCTAGTAGGTCTGTCACCTGTTGCCCTGTCTAGTAGGTCTGTCACCTGTTGCTCTGTCTAGTAGGTCTGTCACCTGTTGCCTGAGCATGCACTCAAAGAACCCGAGTATGCACTCACGCAACCCGGGCATGCACTCAAGGAACCCGGGCATGCACTCACGGAACCCGGGCATGCACTCACGGAACCCGGGCATGCACTCAAGGAACCCGGGCATGCACTCAAGGAATCCGGGCACGCACTCACGGCACCCGGGCACGCACTCACGGCACCCGGGCACGCACTCACGGCACCCGGGCACGCACTCACGGCACCCGGGCACGCACTCACGGCACCCGGGCACGCACTCACGGCACCCGGGCACGCACTCAGGTAACTCATGCACTCTGATGTGACACATGTGTCATAATTTTGTATTACGGTAAGTGTCGGATTGTCGTGGGAAGACATGACACCTTCACAGTGTCGGGGGTGTAGGAGGGGTGTAGGGGTGGTGTGTGGGGGTGTAGGGGTGGTGTGTGGGGGTGTAGGGGTGGTGTGAGGGGGTGTAGGGTGGTGTGTGGGGGTGTAGGGGTGGTGTGTGGGGGTGTAGGGGTGGTGTGTGGGGGTGTAGGGGTGGTGTGTGGGGGGTGGTGTGTGGGGGTGTAGGGGTGGTGTGTGGGGGTGTAGGGGTGGGGTGTAGGGTGTGTGTGGGGGGGTGTAGGGGGGGTGTGGGGGTGTAGGGGTGGTGTGTGGGGGTGTAGGGGTGGTGTGTGGGGGTGTAGGGGTGGTGTGTGGGGGTGTAGGGGTGGTGTGTGGGGGGTGTAGGGGTGGTGTGTGGGGGTGTAGGGGTGGTGTGTGGGGGTGTAGGGGTGGTGTGTGGGGGTGTAGGGGTGGTGTTGTGGGGGGGTGTAGGGGGTGTGTGTGGGGGTGTAGGGGTGGTGTGTGGGGGTGTAGGGGGTGGTGTGTGGGGGTGTAGGGGTGGTGTGTGGGGGTGTAGGGGGGTGTGTGGGGGTGTAGGGGTGGTGTGTGGGGGGTGTAGGGGTGGGTGTGGGGTGTAGGGGTGGTGTGTGGGGGTGTAGGGGTGGTGTGTGGGGGTGTAGGGGTGGTGTGTGGGGGTGTAGGGGTGGTGTGTGGGGGTGTAGGGGTGGTGTGTGGGGGTGTAGGGGGGTGTGTGGGGGTGTAGGGGTGGTGTGTGGGGGTGTAGGGGTGGTGTGTGGGGGTGGGTGTAGGGGTGGTGTGTGGGGGTGTAGGGGTGGTGTGTGGGGGTGTAGGGGTGGTGTGTGGGGGTGTAGGGGTGGTGTGTGGGGGTGTAGGGGTGGTGTGTGGGGGTGTAGGGGTGGTGTGTGGGGGTGTAGGGGTGGTGTGTGGGGGGTGGGGGTGGTGTGTAGGGGGGGTGTGGGGGTGGGGGTGGTGTGTGGGGGTGTAGGGGTGGTGTGTGGGGGTGTAGGGGTGGTGTGTGGGGGTGTAGGGGTGGTGTGTGGGGGTGTAGGGGTGGTGTGTGGGGGGTAGGGGTGGTGTGGGGGGTGTAGGGGTGGTGTGTGGGGGTGTAGGGGTGGTGTGTGGGGTGTAGGGGTGGTGTGTGGGGGTGTAGGGGTGGTGTGTGGGGGTGTAGGGGTGGGGTGGGGTGTGGGGGTGTGTGTGGGGGTGTAGGTGTGGTGTGTGGGGTGTAGGGGTGGTGTGTGGGGGTGTAGGGGTGGTGTGTGGGGGTGTAGGGGTGGTGTGTGGGGGTGTAGGGGTGGTGTGTGGGGGTGTAGGGGTGGTGTGTGGGGGTGTAGGGGTGGTGTGTGGGGGTGTAGGGGTGGTGTGTGGGGGTGTAGGGGTGGTGTGTGGGGGTGTAGGGGTGGTGTGTGGGGGTGTAGGGGTGGTGTGTGGGGGTGTAGGGGTGGTGTGTGGGGGTGTAGGGGTGGTGTGTGGGGGTGTAGGGGTGGTGTGTGGGGGTGTAGGGGTGGTGGTGTGTGGGGGGTGTGTGGGTGGTGTGGGGGTGTGTGGGGGGGGTGGTGTGTGGGGGTGTAGGGGTGGTGTGGGGGTGTAGGGGTGGTGTGTGGGGGTGTAGGGTGGTGTGTGGGGGTGTAGGGGTGGTGTGTGGGGGTGTAGGGGTGGTGTGTGGGGGTGTAGGGGTGGTGTGTGGGGGTGTAGGGGTGGTGTGTGGGGGTGTAGGGGTGGTGTGGGGGTGTAGGGGTGGTGTGTGGGGGTGTAGGGGTGGTGTGTGGGGGTGTAGGGGTGGTGTGTGGGGGTGTAGGGGTGGTGTGTGGGGGTGTAGGGGTGGTGTGTGGGGGTGTAGGGGTGGTGTGTGGGGGTGTAGGGGTGGTGTGTGGGGGTGTAGGGGTGTGTGTGGTGTGTGGGGGTGTAGGGGGTGTGTGGGGGTGTGGGTGGTGTGGGGGTGTAGGGGTGGTGTGTGGGGGTGTAGGGGTGGTGTGTGGGGGTGTAGGGGTGGTGTGTGGGGGTGTAGGGGTGGTGTGTGGGGGTGTAGGGGTGGTGTGTGGGGGTGTAGGGGTGGTGTGTGGGGTGTGTAGGGGTGGTGTGTGGGGGTGTAGGGGTGGTGTGTGGGGGTGTAGGGGTGGTGTGTGGGGGTGTAGGGGTGGTGTGTGGGGGTGTAGGGGTGGTGTGTGGGGGTGTAGGGGTGGTGTGTGGGGGTGTGGGGGGGGTGTGGGGGGGTAGGGGTGTGTGGGGGTGTAGGGGTGGTGTGTGGGGGTGTAGGGGTGGTGTGTGGGGGTGTAGGGGTGGTGTGTGGGGGTGTAGGGGTGGTGTGTGGGGGTGTAGGGGGGGTGTGGGGGTGTAGGGTGGTGTGTGGGGGTGTAGGGGTGGTGTGTGGGGGTGCAGGGGTGGTGTGTAGGGGGGTGTGTGGGGGTAGGGGTGGTGTGTGGGGGTGTAGGGGTGGTGTGTGGGGGTGCAGGGGGTGGGGGGTGTAGGGGGGTGTGTGGGGGTGTAGGGGTGGTGTGTGGGGGTGCAGGGGTGGTGTGTGGGGGTGTAGGGGTGGTGTGTGGGGGTGTAGGGTGGTGTGTGGGGGTGTAGGGGTGGTGTGTGGGGGTGTAGGGGTGGTGTGTGGGGGTGTAGGGGTGGTGTGTGGGGGTGTAGGGGTGGTGTGTGGGGGTGTAGGGGTGGTGTGTGGGGGTGTAGGGGGGTGTGTAGGGGTGGTGTGTGGGGGTGTAGGGGTGGTGTGTGGGGGTGTAGGGGTGGTGTGTGGGGGTGTAGGGGTGGTGTGTGGGGGTGTAGGGGTGGTGTGTGGGGGTGTAGGGGTGGTGTGTGGGGGTGTAGGGGTGGTGTGTGGGGGTGTAGGGGTGGTGTGAGGGGGTGTGGGGGGTGGTGTGTGGGGGTGTAGGGGTGGTGTGTGGGGGTGTAGGGGTGGTGTGTGGGGGTGTAGGGGTGGTGTGTGGGGGTGTAGGGGTGGTGTGTGGGGGTGTAGGGGTGGTGTGTGGGGGTGTAGGGGGTGGTGTGTGAGAGTGGGGGTGTAGGAGGGGGGTGTAGGGGTGGTGTGTGAGAGTGGGGGTGTAGGAGGGGGGTTTAGGAGGGGGTGTAGGGGGTGGTGTGTGAGAGTGGGGGTGTAGGAGGGGGGTGTAGGGGTGGTGTGTGAGAGTGTAAGGTAAGTGTGGCCTCCGGTGACTTAAGATGTCTGTATATTGCTTATTTCCTTCCCTAAGTCAGCCATAACTAAGGCTAAGACGCCGTACTGGCGAGGGGATGGTACTCGCCTCGCCCTGCCTCACCCTGTCTCACCTCGCCCTGCCTCACCTCGCCCTGCCTCACCACCTCGCGTCACACAACACTGACTAACACACCTGGCTACAATGGTCACGGTAGTGGGACCAGGTGTGTCACGCCACCACACACCTGCCTGTAATTGTCACCTGTCATCTCTCACCCCTGGGTCATGGTGAGGGAGGAGGCAGGGAGGGAGGGAGGCAGGGAGGGAGGCAGGCAGGGAGGGAGGGAGGGAGGCAGGCAGACAGGGAATCATCAAATATCAGATATAGACAAAAACACAAGTCACAGCTTCGTATCATCCTTTGCAGATGACACAAAAATCAGCATGATTATTACCTCTGCGGAAGACATTGAAAAACTACAAGCAGATATTAACAAAGTTTTCGATTGGGCAGCTGAAAATAACATGATGTTTAACAGTGATAAATTCCAGGTACTCAGGTACGGTAAAAATGAGGACTTTAAACATAATGCAGGGTACAAAACACAATCGAATCTGCCCATAGTAGGAAAACAGCATGTCAAGGATTTGGGAATAATGATGTCTGACGACCTAACGTTTAGGGAGCATAACCAAGCAAATATTGCGTCAGCCAGACAAATGATCGGATGGATTACGAGAACTTTCAAATCCAGGGATCCCATCACAATGGTTGTACTCTTCAAGTCACTTGTGTTGTCCCGTCTTGAGTACTGCTCAGTACTCACTTCCCCCTTCAGAGCAGGAGAGATTGCTGAAATAGAGGGAATACAGAGAACATATACGGCACGCATAGACGCAATAAAGCACCTAAATTATTGGGATCGTCTCAAAGCTCTCCAAATGTACTCACTAGAAAGGAGACGAGAGAGATACCAAATAATATACACATGGAAAATACTGGAGGGACAGGTCCCAAATCTACACAGTAAAATAACAACGTACTGGAGTGAACGATATGGAAGAAAATGCAGAATAGAACCAGTGAAGAGCAGAGGTGCCATAGGCACAATCATAGAACACTGTATAAACATCAGAGGTCCGCAGCTGTTCAACGTCCTCCCAGTGAGCATAAGAAATATTGCTGGAACAACCGTGGACATCTTCAACTGGCAACTAGATAGTTTCATGCAAGGAGTGCCGGACCAACCGGGCTGTGGTGGGTATGTGGGCCTGCGGGCCGCTCCAAGCAACAGCCTGGTGGACCAAACTCTCACAAGTCAAGCCTGGCCTCGGGCCGGGCTTGGGGAGTATAAGAACTCCCAGAACCCCATCAACCAGGTATCAACCAGGAGGGAGGGAGGGAGGGAGGGAGGGCTCCCTGCCTCAAAGGTTCAACGACACCTCAAGATCATTAATCACTTCATGTCAACATTATCACGGCCCTTTTTGTACCTCTCGTTGACCCTGAGGGCTCTGATGCCCTGGGGTCCAGAGTGGGGGCTCCCTGAGGGCTGTGGTGCCCTGGGGTCCAGAGTGGGGGGGGTCCCTGAGGGCTGTGGTGCCCAGGGGTCCAGAGTGGGGGGGTCCCTGAGGGCTGTGGTGCCCTTGGGTCCAGAGTGGGGGGTCCCTGAGGGCTGTGGTGCCCTGGGGTCCAGAGTGGGGGCTCCCTGAGGGCTGTGGTGCCCTGGGGTCCAGAGTGGGGGGGTCCCTGAGGGCTGTGGTGCCCTGGGGTCCAGAGTGGGGGGTTCCCTGAGGGCTGTGATGCCCTGAGGTCCAGAGTGGGGGATCCCTGA